CAAAAAAAAAAGACCGCCTCGACCAAACCTAAACATGATGGGTGATGGTGCTATGGCTTCATACTCAGGGCCGTGTGTAGTGTGTCCCCCCTACTCGTTCTTCCGACCTTGTCTGGGGCTTCCTTCTTGTTACTTTTGTCTACTGATGTACACAGTTTAGTAAGTATTTGGGTATCCTGGAAATCCCTGGGTGTGTAGAACCAGAGTCTTAAGTTGATGTTGTTATAGAACCAGGGACTCTGAGCACGTGTCCAAGGTCTCCAAGCATGTGCAAGAAGAGAACCAAGGTTTCCAGCTCGTGGAAATGTAGAACCAAAATCTCCAATTACAAATATCGAAACAAGGTCTCCAAGCACGTGTGAATATAGAACCAGTGTCCAAGTACATGGAAATTTAGAACCGAGGTTTCCAAGCACGTGTAAATATAGAACCAGTCTCCAAGCACGTGAGATATAGAACCAAGGTCGCCATGCACGTAGAAATATAGAAGCAATTTCTGAGCACGCCGAAATATAGAACCAGAATCTCCAAATACGTGTAGATATAAAACTGGTTTCTAAGCACGTGGGAATGTAGAACCAAGGTGTTCCAGTACGTGGATTATCGAACCTGAGTCTCAGCATGTTGATTACTAGAACCAGGGTCTCAGCAGGTGAAAACACATGGGAATATGGAACCAAGGTATTATAACACGTAAAAATATAGAACCAGGGTCCCAAGGGCACATAACCGTAGTAGGAGTGTGTGACGAGATTAAGTGAGGGAGGGAGGGAGGGAGTCAGGTGGAGAGAGACGTCATGGTGATGTTCATTCGGTTGGTAGGTAGGTAGTGGAGTGGACGGTACCATGGAGGAAGGACCTGTGTGTGCTGGTGCTGTTTGTATATGTTTATTTATCTTTTATTTTAATGTTAGCCTATCCTATTTTCATGTTGATTTAGTCGTGAATTTATTGTTAGTATTTATTACCTTTAAAAATATTTGTTATTTTGCCTTTGTTAAGTGCATAAAATATTGTTGGAATATCATGTCTGTTTTTGTTATTTTTATTGCCAATATTATTTGTTTTTTATTTAAGGTGTTGTTATTGTTTTAAAGTTATAATGACGTTTTTTATTGTTATTTGTCATTGTTCTTCTGTTTTGTTGTCAGTATGAGCTGCAGGTGGTGACGTTTCTGCTTCTGCTGTTTTATTTCACGTCCTGTTACTCTTCGTATTTTATGTGGTTATTATTGACGACTGACCTGCTGCCGATTTTTCATAAAAAACGATTTTTAAAACGCCGGAATTTCACTGTTTTATAGTGGACACTCGTAGTTTTGGCAAATGTGTTTAAAAGTGGTTATTTCTAAGTTAAACCTAATCTAACCGTAGTTGATAAGAAAACAAGCAGCAGGAGCATTGTTAGAAGACCTCTCCAACCTAACCAAAGAAACTTACCTAACCTTACATAACTTCCTAGCCGTGGGGCACCGCCCCTTGGACTCCTCGTATATTAAACAGAAAGAACTTCTATGGTATGCAGTAATTTTTATGTTTTTTTTTTATGGTAGGCAGCTCTCAAACAGGGAAGATATTGAAAACATATTGTGTTGTCTATTGGTAGACCCTGCTGCCATACGGCATCACGAAAATTGTGACCAAGTCCCATGTTGCTGATCTGACTTTCTGCCTCATACACAATTGCAGGGTTTCAATTGTTTCTCTTAATATTGACAACACAACATATATGTCGTTTCTCACTCTTGATTTATTTTTTGGTTTGTGTATTTATTTATGGTTATTTTTAGTATTATTTTTAATCAATTATTATTATTATTATTATTATTATTGTTATTATTATTATTATTATTATTATTATTATTATTATTATTATTACTATTACTATTATTATATTTTCGTCTCAGGCCCTGATGTGGGTCAGTAACCTGTGCTCAGGTGGGCTAATCCCCGTAAAAAAAAAAAGCCGTACGACTCCTAACCGAATATTGTCATCAATCGGAGCTGTCAATCTGCTTGGCGGGGGATGCTCCTTCTTAGCCTCATTACCGCTGAGAAAGACAAAGTAGTGCTCGTCTAGTTGCCTAATTATCTACTTAACAAAGCAATTTCCCCCCAAAATGATTATCATACCAGAACTCGTTGATGAAAATATAGTAAGAGTATAAACATTGTAACAAATAACACATCAGCGGGTTAGTCATCAATATTAACCATTGTTTCTTATGACTTCATATTTTTCATTAATTTTCTTTTTAATGTTGCTGTTGTAATTTTCCTTTTTGTATTAACTGTTTTAACGGTGATTTTTAACGGGAGGATGTACAGTACAGTATAATGAATGTGTATATGAATACCATTGATGCCATTACAGATATCGAATAATCATGCCGTGAGGACTACAGTGCCAAGAAAACAGTGCTGGAATGTATTCATCGATTTTATAAGCGTAGTGGAACTTGTGATTTGATAACCGAGACCCACGTTTTGTGCTGGACAACAAGAGCGTCGAAACAAACCTCGGTCATCGAAGAGTGCTTTAACATTAATGCTCCTGTTTCATAACATTGCCCCTGTATGTTTGGAGCATTTAATAGTGGTGAAGCATACCCACATAATGATGTAAACAATTTCACCAATATATCGGAGTGATTCGTGGACTTGGTGACTAAAGGGTTGAATTATTAATAAAGTGGACTTGTGTCACGGGAAGAGGTGAGTGGCGGCAGCATGCATTATGGAGGGTTAGTGCAATGTGCAGACTACTTCAGAAATAAATCCCAGGGTAGCGTGGGCCATAGAAACACTTCTGGCACCAAAATTTGTGGTCAGGGAGATGAGGCATGGAAGTACAGTGTGCCTGGCAATTCTAATTACAAAAACATTATGTGTGACAAAAAAACAGGGTACAGGAAAGTTGCTCAGGACCTTCATATAAATAGAAGCTTGTCAGTATATAACAGGGGCAACAAAAGCTCTCTGCCAAAGGCCAATGGTAGCAACAGAAACACACTATCTCAGATGAACAGGAGCAAGATAGTTGAGAGAGGAGAGGTGAGGGTGACCCCGGGCATAAGGATGTCTCCCAAGAAAGTCGACTTCATCAGCTTTATTGCCTGGAGACCGGAGGCCAAACAGCTACCCGTGATAGTAAGTTCTCAGTTGCTGTGAACCCTACTATCCAACGCCAGTGGTACTGTACTGCTAGCTAACCCGATTCTGTACTGTAGTTAGTGCTATGGGCTTGTCTCATAGCAACAGAATCCTAGTTGTGATGGATAACTTCAACACTTGGGATGTCGTGAATGATGGTGGTGGTAGAAATATCGATAATGTAGTTGAGATTACTGCATAGAACAACATTTGGGAAGTTAAATCATGAACATACAGCTTAGTGTGTTATCCAGTGAGGATTATTGTAGTTTGTAAACTATTTAGTATACTGTTATAATACATGTACACTTACTTGCCCGTCCCATCTTACCAGTACAGGTACTTGTGGGTAGTGATGGTGTTAGTAGATGCTGGGGTTACGGCTGTGTAATCCAATGGTTCCTTGGTGACGAGATGCATTGAAAACTTAACCTCATACCCAGCGAATCATTGGAACATTAAGTACTGTATGTAGTTACCTATGCTGGAGCTGAACACTTTGATCAGTTAGCTAGCCTTTAGCCACACACACACACACACACACACACACACACACACACACATACACACACACACACACACACACACACACACACACATACTACTACTACTACTACTTTGCTGTTACTCAGAATCGAGTATGACGATCATATAGCTATGATACAATGATGAGTTATTAAGGATGTCACCTGCATTGGTGAGCTCTGGGGTGACTAGAGAGGCTGATACGGGACCAGCAGGGTTGTCCACAGATGTTGCATGTGTGGAGGGCTACAGCTAGTGCGGGAGGGGCAGCGGCTGCGTCCATCTGGCATTAGTGCTTGTCTGCCTCGGTATGCAGTTGGGCTAACTCGAAAGTATTGACACCTTCTTGTGTGGCGTTACAGTGTGGAGTAATCATCTCCCAGGTGAGGGGGTCGATTTGGCACTTTTTCAGGTTTGTCTTAAGATTATCCTAATACAATGCAGTAGTTTCAGTTGCCTGCCAGCCTTACAAATGCAGTACGAATGAAAACCTAAAAATATTGAAGGTTAGATATGGACACGGAGGTAGCAGTAAGAGTCCCCCCAATACTGCAGAACAGAAATATGATGATGCACACTAGTGAAGCCAAACAAGTCAGTCTTTACACATGAGCTTATACAGTATGTGGCGGAGGGGAAGGAAACCTACCCCTGCCCTTGACTTCCTCGGTCAGGCTCATGATGTGTTTTGAACATTCATGGATGTGTTTTGTTAGTGCATGTGTGTGTGTGTGTGTGTGTCTTTGCTCGCTATCTTTGGGTGTAATGTGTGTATTTGTTTGTTAGTGTGTGTACGTTTCGGTGTTGGTGTATGTGTGTGCATTTATATGATTCAGAATGTATGTGTGTTGAGTGTGCATTTTTTTTTACTTTATGTATGTATGTGTGCATAATTTTGTGTGGGTGTGTTATAAACCAAGCACCTCAGAAATCAACAAACTGCCGTGAATATTGAATAACACGTAGAAATGCGTTGTAAGGAGTTGGTCGAGTTCTGTGCCGTAATATAGGATTTGTTCTTTGGTGATTACCGGGTACCTCTTTTATTATCACATTTACTTATTATTTTACCTTGAAACCATTATAATACATTTATTGAAGATGTATACACACAATGGACTATCACTAACACACCTAGAATAAGGCTATTATCAGTTATTATTATTATTATTATTAGAAACACGGTAGATTGAAAGCCAGGTGAGAATTACACGGTACAGTATTATGATGTCTCTCCCTCCCCTCCCGTCCCATTTTGGCAAACAAATAATAGTAATATTGGTAGTAGTAATAATAATACTTCTTCGTGTGACTATCCTCAGGTAGCCTCTTTGTCTCAGCGCCGGGTGAGTTGATATCTTTTAAGAGTGCTCGAGGATATCAAGCCTGAGTTCATTATTATTTGTTGCTGAAATATTTTAAGTTTGATATCATAACGTATGGAGTTTTTGATATCATTACTTAATGTTGGTGTGTTTTTTGTTTATTCCATCATTATGACCTCTCATTATACAGTACTACGTGTTTGTTGCTGCAGTTTTTTTCTCGCTATGGCCTCATATTTTGTTGTTGTTCATTTCATCAGCACAAAGACATCATCATAATGAGAAATACCACACAACATTTTGCTTATTTCTGTGGTTGTAGATTGTACTTAGTGCATGGTAAGTGTACCTTGTCTTATGTAACACACTTTTCCTTGCATTTGATAAACTGTATGTGTGTGTACTGTACAGTATACAGTATACAAGTAATACTGTAGTATAGGGGGCCCAAAAAATTCGCAGGGGTTAGGTTCTCATAATGGCCATGAATTGCCAATTCGCGAATAACATTTGCGGACGGGGGGGAGGATTTTTACTTGTGTACAAAGAAATGTAGGTATATTCCTTTTGTATTTGCCCTTAGGACAATTATTTCTTTTACCTGTATTGTATATATATGTGTGTGTGTAGACATACACACATACAAATAAATGATACTCTAATGAGAAAATACTCTCACAAATAATAAGAAACAATTTTATTAAAAATGTGAGTCTACCCTCAAGTCCATGCTTTACTAATAAAGTAATAAAGCACGGACTTGAGGTTAGACTCGCATTTTTAATAAATTTGTTTCTGATTATTTGTGAGTATTTTCCCATTATTTTTTATTTGTACTATGTGTTTTATGTGTGTCTACACACACACACACACACACACATATTTACAATACAGGTAAAGGAAATTACTGTCTGTAGAACGAATGGCTCCCTGTCCCATCCGCAAAAATGCCAGCAACATTAAAACTACCCACAGACATTCTTGGGTACATCCAGGGTGTCCTCCGCGAATAATAGAGGACCGCAAAATAAAATTTCGCGAACTTGAGGGGCCCCTGTACATACATAGACGTTTTATTCATCTTTTTTTTTTTTTTATCCTTTTAGAAGAATGGTACGATGTGGGAAAAATAAGTATGGTATGTAAAGTACAGTACAGTATATGTAATTGTTATGCAGTATACCAAGTACAGTACACTACTGTGCATTCTTACCTATAATTTGTATCTCAGTAAGAGCATTTTAGTTATGGCATGGGAACAGTACTGTAGTTAATGTCTTCATCTATATACAGTAACTATATCTTAAGTGTGTGGAGTCCTGAGGGGATGTTATTATTTCACGTGTTAAATACTGACAGTGACCAACTCTTGTTCCCTCTGTCTGTATGATCATCTCTGTTCAAACTTATTTTTCTTTCTCTTAACTACTGTACTGTGGCTAATTGTATGCAAGGGTCCCCGACTTACAAACGTACAACTTATGAATGCCCGCTGATACGAACGAGGTTACACTTTAAATTCACAGTACGGGTACTGTATTTTATTTACCTGATGACTTATTTTTTACTTTCAATTACTGTATACTGGATTGTCATTCTATTTCTTCTTTTATCTTAAATTAAGTGATTTTAAATGTATATAAGGACTTACTCTATGGTTTGGTGGGATTTTAAACATTGTTCTGCAAGTATGATATGCACATAGCATAGGTTTTGACTTGCGTACAATTTTTATTTAAGAACTTCCTCAGGAACGGAGCCTATTTGTAACCCGGGGACCCCCTGTACAGAATCTTTAAACAACATTACTTTCTTTTCGTGCATATTTGTTGTTCTTGTGTGAGTAACTGTAGCAGTGTAGTATTAGTGATGTGCATGTTGCTAAAGTTCTGTACTGTGTTCCTCAGTAAAGTTGCTATTCTTCATTGTATATGTTTTTTGACTGACTGCCTTGTAAATTGGGCAAGACTCTGAGTCTAGAGGAGTATAGTACAGTACTGTATCTTCTATTGTCTTAATAGTTGCTGAAATAATGTACAATATCTTTTTATATCTGTTATGCCTTTGCACAGATTTCATCCACATGCACATTCCTATCAAGGTCTGTTGTGATTACACTTGTTTTATTGAATAAACTTTAATTCAGACTACACTAACTATCTCAGTTAAGTGTCCACATCACAACACCTGTTGACACTGGTAGTGAATGATGAGTTACCGTACTGTATATGTACCGTACTTAATGGTGGTGAGACCTTGATTGTTGTTTGCCCTCTTTAGTAATGGATGGTAACTTATGAAGGCCTCTTTACTGTTATAGTAAATGTTGACAGAGAAAATACCCACTTCCAGTTCCCTGAACCCATTACTGAAATAACAGGCTTTTTTCATAATTTTTCCCATTATTTATTTTCATATTACTGTACGTGTACTTTTTGCAGTTGGGATTATTCTTACTCACGTGTAAAAAAAAAAGTTTACTTTCGGCGAGATAAAAAAATGTGGGCTTTTAACCATTCCTCTTTGTCTATCATCAATTCATTGGAAACTTATTATGTATGTGTTACCCTCATCTTGGAAATTTCTGACTGGATTATGTTAAAACTTAATACAAATAGTCTGTGAGTGACTCCTCATGTCTGACAAGGTGATGCCATACACCATCCAAAAGAACATACAGTACTTGGGTAACCTCCTCCCTTGTGTATATGTGGATAAGACTAGCCATAATTGATGCAGGATTATATACCACGAATAAATCGGGTTATATTACCTAGAAACACGGCCGTATTATCTCTTGATGGGGTTCAGGGTTCTAGAATACAGTCTTACACCTGAACCATGAATTCTGTTTGTGTTTAGAGACCAATCATTCTTGTACAAAGAGGTTTAGCTGAGGTTATTATTCTCTAACAGTTACGTGCCATTACAGAAGGTGGAGGAGCGTTCGGGAAAGCCCCCTGTTGGCCGGCCTCGGAGTGGAACCATCGGAGCCACAGGTCTCCAGCAGGGGCGGCGGGGCGGAGGTTACCACTCAGAGGGCTATTTCTCCTCTGACCAGGACGACGAAGGACCCCGCAGGACTGGTCAGTGCCTACAACCATAAATTAAAAAAATATATACTGTATATTTTTTTTTCTGCATACGGTATACACAATAGTGTATGTGTAGGTTATTAATGTGTCAGCGATTTCAAAGTAGTGATGCTCTTTTATCAGTGTTGATCAGTGAATGATGGGCATATTTAATACTGCACTGTAAATGCTTTTTTCTGAGAATTGGGCACAAATCCTTGTTACCAGTGGATCTCCTAACTTTATGCGAGGGGTTCAGAACTTACAACAACAAGCAATATCTCGGTACAAACAAATGAGATAAAATGTGGCACTACTGTACTACATAACTTAAGGTAGCTACTGTACTGTTGAGGATGATGTAGTAACCAGACCATGTTATTGGTTGTTTCCAGATCTTAAATCCCCGCACTCTCCACGTACACCTGAGTTACGATCCCCGCAGACGCCCCAGAGATTGGTCAGGTCCTCGTCACAAGACTCTGCCAAAGGGGCTAGTCTCAGGTTCGTTCATATGTGAAATATTATTTTTTTTAGATAATAATAAGGACTTTTCATAGCAATAGGAACACAGTACAATACAGTTAGTTTTTCAACTGTACTATAATAAGGTAGAGATGTTTTCAAGTCATCAATAGACTCAGTAAGACTATACAGTAGTCGGTCTGTGCCATCATCCAGCATTCACTTCCTGGTAAGACTTATACTGTAGTAGTTTTATTCTTCAAATTTGACTCATTGTGTTAAGTTTTTTCTGTTCCTTTTTTTTAGATTACTATACTTATATCTTTTGTTTTTCTTAAAGCTTTTCACATTTGAATTTATCTTCTTTGTTCTCTACATAAAACTATTCCTAATTTAAGTCACAATATATCTTTATTCCCTTGTTATTGTTCTCACATTATGGTTGTATTCGACTTTTTTATTTAATTTTTTTTCTGGGAAATGTTTTATTTGTGGCTTCTGTATGTTTGGTGGCATGTGTAGGCATGTACATTACCCCAGGAGGTTGGTGCTCTGAGTCACACACTGGGTAATACACACTTACCTCTCATTTTCTTTAAACATGAACATTTTATTTTATTTACTCACAATTCCTTCCTTTGCTAAACATTTAACTGAGTCACTCTGTAAATGCAATGACCGTAACTCCTAGAATGAGCATGCACGTCACTAAATTGTGGACGACAGAGTGTCGGAAATATTGCACGTTTGAAAATACTCACATGACCCAGCTGCCCCGAGCAAGAACATTTACACCGGGAATGTGACCACAGTATCCGAACGTCGCTCTCCTCTAGCAGTGTGTGGTAACTGTTGCAGTGTAGCTAACCCATCAAGTGAAATGTGTTAGTGGTGGATGGGTTTTTTAATCATAGTGCTAGTACTGTATCATTGAAGAAAATTTAACAAACTAGAATACTAACCTACTTCAGTTGACCTGTGCTAACAAGAGGAGTAAGGTGGGCTAATGTTGGAGAGGCTAATAGTAGAGCCGTAACTCACAGTGAACTAACATAGAGGTAGTTAAGCAACGGCTAGCAAACAGGAGACGGCTTCAGCTGACACGAGTATCACGTCTCCCGCCAGGATGCGTACTCCTAGCCCCGATAATGCTAGCAGGGCCTCCCACGCCATGACCCTCAACGAATCGGCTTCCTACTTGATCGAGAAGTTGATGAACAACACCCCAGAGTCCCAGAGGTACGACCCAATGCTCACCCAGGCTTTAGAACTGATGTTACTGTCTGCCAGATGCTCATTACTGCGAATGCAAGAATAGTACTCCAGAAATATTTAGTTGCTAGAGCTTTGCTCACGTCCTGAATTGTTTGCTTGGCAGTAGTTCTTACAATGCATACAGGAGCACCTCAAGTTATTGGTGATGGTTCTCGTGTCATTTGTTTCTTTGTTTGTAATAATTGTTGACCACTTGTCCAGGACATTCTTCACCCACCATGTTTCAAAACTCACTTCTCAAAATGTGATATATAATATTTCATCAGTTTTTATGTACAGCACATTAGTAACTAAGGAAAGATATTCAATAATTCCTTGATTTGTCCAGATTGTTAATTGCAGTATTTGCAAATATTGTATAATGAATATTAGTTTGTGATCATGTCGACAACAGTGTGAACACAAATGTCAAGGAACAACTCTGCACCTAACATAGATCATGTTCACAAAGTACACTTTTTGTATACCTTTGAAGCACAGTGTCACATTCAAAATCTTCTCCAAACACACAGTGCACTGAACATCACCTCACTGCCTAGTCATATTAACCTGACAGCAGTGTTGAAAGCATTCACCAAAGAATCCTTGTGAGTTAACCTGGCTGGCTGGCTTGCTGGCTGCATGCATCATGCTGGATTTGATATACTTTTCTTTATTAGTTTTGGTTTGAATCTTGCCATGTGTTGTGTGTTTTAAGTGTGCATTAATATTGTCATTGTCTGCTAAGGGTTGAAGCTGTTCAATATATATTTCTCTGTTAAGAGGTCTGAATATTTCTGTAGTAATACAGAAGTGATTCAAGGTTCTGGATGAGGAAAGATATAATGATGGATCAAATTTTCCTCCAATTTGTATTAAGGATAAGTGAGGGAGGAGACCTGGCAAGATTATGCAAACACTGTCATATTCAGAAAGTTGTTTACAGCTCCATACACTTGTACTCTGGCTGTAAGTTTGACAAGATTAGCCATAGCTGTGTTGTGGAGAATGACATGGTGCAGTACAGTACTAAAGACAGAATAGGTTTTGGCAATACTGTAATCCTTTTTTTTTTTTTTTTTCATTCCATGCAGTTTATTATGCCAAGCACCAGTGAGTGATGCTCTTCTTGTACTGTGCTTTATACTTGACCGTGCGAAGGATGAGCTATTAGAAGTTTTATGTCGGGTAAAGGTGAACTTCAGGGTAACACATAAATGAGTTTCATGTCCACATCATTCTAAAATGTTGAAGGCATTCTTCTCAGTAGCTGGACTTGAGTTGTGGTCATAAGTTATTAGTGATAATAACTCGGACACTCCGTTACAGTTTGATACAGGTAGAATACCATCCATTCCCAAACTTACTGTACATACAGTACTAGGAAAGTTTCTTTAATGGTAAATTATTCTCCGTTCTACAGTCTGTTGAATACAGCGTGTAGCAAAGTTTTAATTATGAAAAAGATATCAATATGACACTGTTTTTTATACCCGAGATAAATATTTTTAATGCCCAACTCGGTGAAAAATAAGATGACAGGTGATGCTTATGTCTTGACCTCACTAGTTGCAGTACAGTACTGTATTAGAAGGCTTAGGATGAGGCCTCATAGACTAGAATCTCTGTTGTCTCAGCATGTGAGGGAGGCAGCTAAGGTGCTCAACCCTACAACCAACTTCTCCCTATTTGTTTGGGCATGGAGTAAAGTTAGACAGAAGATGTACAAGAACACCCTGTGTTATAGTGTTACCACACCTGTTCTTCAGTACAGTAGTAGAGAAAACATATAGGTCTAGAAGTTTGTGACTGATATGTGGTGTTGGTCCCAGATCTGTGGTGTCTACAGTGTACAGTACTGTATAGTATTGGGATGTTGAGTGTGTGTGTGTGGAGAGAATGTTGTATGGACCATCCAGCTTCAGGTTAGGAATACTACTGTACGTATGTCATAAAGAGGAATATGAAGAAACACATTACCAGAAAATGAAGGATGATTACATAATATTTTAACATAACATTATAAGGACACATAAAATTGGATGCTTTTGGAAATTGTCAACAGGAGATGTGTGAATTATTCTTACAATGAAACTTAAAAGTGAAGAAAATGGACACCAAGTTTTGTCAGTGTAAAAAATCTGAGGAAAAGAGAAGCGTGTAATGATTTCTAAAATTTACTGTGTAGCATGCTTATATGTAGTAGTTTTGAAAAGACTTTATCAGACATTAAATGCTTCACTTCCAGCATTCCAGATTCTAATATTTCCAACAAGAAAAGATCTTGTTCTTCCCTTTACTTTACCAACAGCCTCAGTACACTACCAGCTAGGTGTTAGTAAAGCACCAGGCACTTCTATGGTCACCTCTAATATACCTAAACCTTCGTTTAATCACCTAACCTTTTAGAGTCGCCAAACCAAACCCTGGTACAGTCACCAAACCTTGTATACAATAGTTATTTGTTCTTATTATTGTTTTTAATTATGTGAGCACAAATCTCATAGTACTGTAGTATACTCACAAAGTGCAGCATAATATATTAGTAATTTCCCAAGGCAGGATAGTCATTAAGGATTGAAAAGTTTCCTTAGTGTAGTGTAGCCACAAACCAAGTGCAGTCATCATCCCCGACACAGTCACCAGACCCTGGGAAATCACCAAGCTTAAAATGTAGCACCAACCCCTATGACTATAACCAGTAAGTACTACAGACACCTACACAAGTCCTGTCGCCTCTCCTCCTGAATCACCAACCCCAAGATTCAGACTCTTGAATCCAAAGCATTTATGGATAGAATATTGTAATGCATCAATGTCTACTGCTTCAGGTTCACCAGTTTGAATCTTGGGGTTCATGATTCAGGAGGAGAGGCGACAGGACTTTAGCGGGTGACTGTACATATATGAGGATCTCTAGTGGTTCACCAAACATGTCACAGAATCATGACTGAGGTATAGAAGTAGAACGAGCAACATTTGAACAAGCTCGTGTCCAATATAGGATGTTTTTGTCCTCACGAGGCATGTTTAGTATTGTGGAAGGTACTGTTATGTGACAAAGTTTGAATGTTTCACTGTGCAAGATGGTTTATGTCAAACTGATAGGAGTTGTTTTATTGGTTATATATTTAGACCAGAAAGCATTAATTTTTCATTATATATACAATACTTGTACAGTATTTTCTAATTCATTCCTCTATTTTTTTTTTTATAAAGTTGTCTGATAGACTGGTACGACATCCCAGAGGTTCATATAAATATCTAAAATACTGTAGATGCATTTTATACTCCATACTGACATTATATTCCTTTAGGTTTTCTTTAATCTTTTTACTGTTGTTGTTTTCTTATTGCAAAATGTTTTTACTGGGTAACATAGTTCAGTAAGATGTAGTTATCAGTGGTTGTGAGGATGGTGATGGGTGACTGGTGTTGTAGATGTGTTCAGTAGCAAGTGGTTGGATTGATTGGTGTTGGTTGTAAATAATAATGTAGCCAGAGATAATGACATAGCCATAGAGATAAAAGAATAGCCACAGATATAATAACATAGCCATATAGATGATAACATAGCCATGTCGATGATAATATAGCCACATGGAGATAATAACATTGCCGCATGGAGATAAGTGTACAGAAGGTAGTTGGTTATTTTCGTATTTGTCATGATGTACCCACAAGAAGTGTACAGTACAATACATGTTGATGGGAAGTCTTCCAGAGGTGCCATGAGTTGCTTGTACAGTGATTTACTTCCTTCCTTATTGTGTCTCCTGATCTCTGGAGTGGTACCTGTGGCGAGAGTCAGCGACTGTGGGGCCTTGACATGGTGATGGGTTCTGTGCCAAACCTTTATCATTTTACTACTTAACATCTAACTAGCCATTCAGACAGTTGGTCTGATCTTTGTTACTTGTCATGTATTGATTAGTACAGTACCCAGAGAAAACTGTTATGATGGGTAGGGTCACACTGGATAACACCCTTCGCACATCTGTCCTGGGCTGGGGATTGAACCCAGGATGCAATGATGAGAGATAATGTATGCACTTTACCATTGTAGTACTAACAGCCATTCATCTCTACTTGAGTGCAGGCTTGACCCTGTTTAATCTTGTCTTAACCCCTCTGAACTGAAAAAAAATCATCTTGTGTCAGGCAAATAAAATATTAAACATGGCATCCCTGTAGTGAAGGGGTTAAAATGCCAGAGCACCATCACTGTATTTGTCTTGCCCAGCACTGTCTCGTACTGCTGACTCTGACAACACAGTTAAGGTTCTTACAAATTCTTCACCCCAAACAAGGCAACACAAAACTCATCATACTGTACAAAACCAGTGTTAACACACAATCATCACTTTCAAAAGGCTGTTTATACAAGCAAAACCAAAGTTTCCTTACACACACGCAGTCCAGGAGCTAGAAATCTCATAATGATTCTGATTTTACAACTAACTACATCCTAAGGAAAGGTAAATGATGGGCTAAAACTCTCCACCCTTGATGAGCCAGACAGTCACCTCCACCCACCTGTAGACCCTAAAGATGTACCTCTACACATACTATTGAAATGACCCTATAGTTATAACGATGTATGGTCCCAAAATAACCCCCAGTCCTTAAGAGGCTTTTCAGACTACAACAGACCACCACTACCTCCCTCAACTCTTAGAAACCTTATAATAAACATCCAGTAGCTGAAATTGAACATCTTCCTCTTCCATCAAATCCAGACTTGTGACCCATACTTCTGTAATCTCTAAATTTTTAGGAACACACTTGTAAAAAGCAATTCCTTCACTTTCAGAGACAAGTTTTAGTTTCTACAGTAATACATAATTTGGGTTTTGACCAGAGTATTCCACTTCAGAATTCCCTTTTCTCCTTTTTGGCAAAAGTGATGCTATTCTTGTTAACTTTATTGGGTTTGCCTCTATCTCATAATGTACAGTACAGTAAGTTTCATCTGACAGTTAGTCAGAACTTTAGTCAAGAATCTTCACATTTCAGTAGAGATCAAGAAATTTTGATATTTTCAGTAAACAAGGTATTGAAGTTTAGAATGTTTTAATGTTTAAAGTTAGTAAATGAGTGCTTTTTATAGGTCTCGGGTGACTATTTGATAATTTTAGAGAATAAGATGACACATACCTGTTTACTGTACCACAACGTCTACATAAAATGTTTACCGATTTCAGGAAACAACCTGGTAAGACTGAAGGTCGAACTTGTTGTAAAGCCGATAAGAAACCTACAGTGGCTGAGGTCACAGGCCGGAGCAAGAGTGAAAAGGGGACCAAGGTGGGTGAAACAACAACACTTGCTTCATGAGGTCTGGATACCTTCTTGAAAATCACCTTATTTGTCTTTCTTCCCAATCAACATTTCTGGAATTTATCTTTGCGGTTCAGAGATTGTTTTTATATTATCATCTGGGCATTTTGTCTCTCGTATATAATTCAAGACCACATATTCATGGTTAAGATCGTTGCTTTCAATATTTGTGTATTCTGTGGGGCCATTGTGATGGAGTTACTTTTTTAATGTTTTACTTTTGCAATGAAGCTCTTTTATCATCTTGCCTGTTAATCATTGTTTTTGTCAAGTTCTCTCTTGAAATATGAATTGCCATAGTTTTTGTTCAGGTTATTGGGTATCAAAGGAAACACAGGTTGAGAGAGACAACCTTACCCCTGATATGTTTGGTTACCAAGCTGAGGTTTTCATCTTGCACTGTTTGAAATACTCATAGATGTATTATAGCAATGTTGTTTTGTTCACAAGCAGAGCACTGTTAAAATGACACCTGAGGGACAAAAACAGAGCAACAGTGCCAACAGTCTGAGCAGCTGCCAGACCTATGATGTGAAGCAGGAATTAGAGAGTGTCGGTGGTAAAGAAGAGAAGGTTAGTAATGAGGTATGTCGACATCTTTTTTTAGTCTTACTTGTAGTAATAAGCACAAATTCATTTTACTTTTTATATAATATTCATCATCACTTATTTTGTGAGTACTTGCGTCATTGCTGGGCCACGTAGTGATTAACCCGAGTGTTATGTTGTCTGTCAGTCATTCAATTTAGTTTCTATACTCTAAATTCAGTTCCTGTTGCCCCTCGCCCACCAAACATACTCTCAAGACCACTATTGATTTTAGGGGCAAAAGATCAAAGTCATTTTGTGATGGGTATACAGTACAGTACAGTATTCCAGACCTTAGTTTTCAAATCAAATTCTATAATGATTGGAAACAACTTCCATCTGCTGTTTAGATAATATCCAACATCGGTTATAATGGATAATTTGAAGTTTTGTGCAGTAATGGGTTTATATCTGTTGTGTAGATACTATCCAAGACTGTAGTCAAAATGTACAGAGCTTTCCTTCACACATGGACCTGTGGACCCTTGGGATGGTACCACATCTAGTGTTAATACTGTAATTCGGAAACTATTAATATCCAAGAAACATTATGATCCACATGTGAGGATGACGGTACAGGTGCTCCTCTACTTACGAACGAGTTACCTTCCTGAGGCTTGTTATTTTGTAAGTCCAACTTTACTCCTGTAGATACCAAACCTATTGTAAAAAATGAAAAGATTGTGGATATTTAGTACAGCTATACCCTTTAATACAACCTTAAAACCTGGCTCACTCTTCTCCTCTTAGGTAATGTTTGTTCTATCTGTAATTTTCTTCAAAATAATCCAGTCTGATCCACATTAAACACCTGTTCTGGCAGGTATCCCCCCTCAGTGATGATGTTTGTATCTCTGAAAGTTTGTAAGTTGAACGTTCTTAAGTAGAGGAGCACCTGTACAGTATTATGATCCACATGTGAGGATGACAGTACAGTACAGTATTATGATCCACATGTGAGGATGACAGTACAGTACAGTATTATGATCCACATGTGAGGATGACAGTACAGTACAGTATTATGATCCACATGTGAGGATGACAGTACAGTACAGTATTATGATCCACATGTGAGGATGACAGTACAGTATTATGATCCACATGTGAGGATGACAGTACAGTACAGTATTATGATCCACATGTGAGGATGACAGTACAGTACAGTATTATGATCCACATGTGAGGATGACAGTACAGTACAGTATTATGATCCACATGTGAAGATGACAGTACAGTATTATGATACACATGTGAGGACATGATCAGTAAGTGAAAAGATTGCTATGATGATTAAAGTGTAATGGTGGAGTCAGTTTTCTGTAGTTTATCATGTGCGTTTATGACTGAGTCCAAGATTACCACCAGAAGAGACTACCTAACAGTTGTAACCTAATTTATGATTTTTCATCCAACAGGCTTTTGTAACTTAATTATGATCCTTCAAATGACATTGTTGTAACATAATTCACAAACTTCCATCTCACAGGATGACGTGAGTGAGGCAGGAACGTACACAATAGAAAAAGACTCATCGTCGCCGGAGGTAGAGCAAGCGAGAAACGACATCGACCGAGTGTTTGGTGTGTCTGGTACCGAAAGTGAGGTTGATGTGGTCACGCCCCGAGGAAACGCCCCAACAGAGGAGGCATGGACACCTACCCCAGAGTCTGACAAATTCAAGGTATAAGCATTTCAGGTCATGTTGAGCTTCTCAAGGGAGGGAAGTATCCAAACACATTATAACCACATTATAACATTTTATATATATATATATATATATATATATATATATATATATATATATATATATATATATATATATATATATATATATATATATATATATATATATATATATATATATATATATATATATATTGATGCTTAAGGAATTCACACACATTACCTGAGGCTTGATGGGGGTTGAGACACATATGTACTGATGGTCAGGTTACTGTACAGTGCCCTGGTGTTTATTAGTTATAGGCCAAGTCAGGTTCCTATTTGGGTTCTTAGTAAACTGTAGGTTATGACAGTGTACAATTTGGACATTTTTAATATACCAAATGTTCTTTTTGATAATTTTAAACAGTAAATCATTCCCTATCTTGTATTGAGTTATTTTATTAGCAGAGGAAGGACAGTCTAGTATAGTGAATGATGTCAGTGATTTCTTACTTGTGTATTAATATGGTGATGTGAGTTAAAGGTTCAGGGATCTGTATAGAGAAGTTCCTTGTTGCAGTATTGTCCTCTATGCCCCATAAGGAAATATACATGTATTGTACTCTTATTGAAAATTTCTCAGATGTGTATTTGGTTAAAAAAAAGTTATTTGGATAAAAGGAATTTAATGTTTGACATTTTTCTTCAAGAAGAAGTCAGGACAGAGAGAAAAGGTCAGTGATGTGGTTAAATTTATGTACAGTACTTAGGCTCTTGTCCACAGTGAGCAGCTCACAGTTTCCACATGTGTATCTTATATATGGGTGTGCTTATGTTGCACGACTGTACTGCTCTCTCATGTAGTTCTCTGCACAAGTATCTTATTGTATTTTCCCAGCAACATTCACAGCTCACTGACCTAAAGTGTAACTGGAGGTTAGAGTCATACATATTCACTCTTGTTGTGAGATGGTGGGGGGTAAATTTTGACTGTGTCTCACCTCACATATATACTCTCACCCCCAGATATTTGTCATTTTTCTACCTACCTAGTTACCTGTGTGTGTGTGTGTATATATATATATATATATATATATATATATATATATGCCAAGTAAATCACTGTATGTTGCAATTCACATCTTCAGGGTGAAGATGTGCTTGGGAACTTCGTGTTTTCATAGCATATATATATATATATATATAAATAAATAAATATATATATATATATATATATATATATATATATATATATATATATATATATATATATATATATATATATATATATATATATATATATATATATATATATATATATATATATATTCTATTCACCTTCCTGTACAGGTATATTTACAATGTAAAAACTTTAATTAGTAGTTATTATTATTAAAAGTAGTGTATAGTGGTAAGTGATAGTGTTAATGTTCCTTGTTGTTGTTCTCAGTTGACTCACACACAGTTTCCCCTGCACTGTAATTGTCTGAGTCCCCATGTCCTACACTCCCTCTCTCACATTATTCAGTCAACCAAGCGCTTATTCCAGCACCATTGATTCATGTATTTACCATTATACTGGACTGTAGTTTAGGTCTGAAGGGATAGTTAAGAGGATGTGTTGTGAAGAGCTTGGCTTGGTTCATCTGTTTCTTGTGTCTGATCATTACTCTTGTTTCTTTATCATTGTCAGAAAATCTTGTCAGAGTTTGATTTGTTTTTGACTGTATAACAGTATTTTCAAAATAAAGATACAATACATACTATTGAATCAGACTATACACACAAAATTATTATTAACCCCTTGAGTATAATGACATTATATTTCGGGGTTTAAGTCATTGTACTCATGGGATTAAGTCATACCCAAATGGATAAGTTATCGTACTCTAAAGGTTGAGTCATCATACTGTGGGAGTTAATAACATAGAGAGTCCTCAGACACACAGACTTGATATTGCCGTGATGCAGAAGTGAATAAAAGATATAAATTATTTTCTTACCCACAGAGTCCTGGTAGCATAAGTCGCAGTAGTCCAAACTGGATTCGACAGTGGGCAGCACAAGTAGCCGAGCACACGAAGTCCTCCGACGCCTCTGTCAAAACATCAATAGGGTCTCCTCGTGGCACGAAGCCTCCACTCGCATCCCTCTCGTCCTCCCAGGAAAGTAGCGAATCCCGTCCCCGGCGGAAACTGCCCACTCCACCCACGCACCATCCACCTTTCTCAATGGCCTCCCCTAAGGTTAATGATCTATCTGACAACCAGAGTCCCACCAAGGGCCGGGTAAGTCTCCCTTATGACATCATTTTCAGTAGTCTTCATTTTGTATTATCATGTACTGTACAGTACAGTACTGTACAGTACTGTACTGTATTTGTATTTAAATAATACAGTCATATCTTTTTGTTAATACCCTGTATTAATTGTAATGAAAAATTCACAAGGAATTCAGTGATCATGTCATTACTGAGACTTCTTTTCTTATATTCTCTCTCACTCCCTGTATGCAGTGTCTCACAAGGCTTGGACACTATAAGGTTGATGCTCTTTCTAATAACTTACATTCTAAAGTAATATTACTCCAAATCTTTAACCTCCACTTTCTCTCTTTCAGAAGTTGAGCAGATTATTCTCTGGGGTGTTTGAGCAAGACTTACACTTGCTGCTTTGGCATTGTTTACCAACTAACTTTAATTCTTTTTAATGCTTTTAATTTTCTTGAGTTCATTATTCTCTTTAATTATTAAGACTCACATCTAAATATGTAGGTTTTCTCGTAGTCAAAGGCAATACTGCCCTCAACCCATGAAGCAAATGACTCTTGGATGAGACTTTTTATTTTCTTGTGAGTCAATACTTGAATATAAAGTTCATTCAGTATGATGGACATACTGTACATAAATATCTGAAAATAAACTAGTACAGTATTCATTTGTTTCTTGTGGGTTGACTTCTGTATTTTCTTTAATAGAAATCTTAGTTTTGTTAAGCTTGTTCACACTGTGTCATGAGTTACACTGTCCTCTGTCTTAATCGGCTGTTTTGCACTTTTTTTTTAATAATCTTCATGTATTCCTCGAAATAATCTCTTCAGAGGCAAAAACCAACATATTTCTAATTTACTTTGGCTAATGCAAGTAAATTCCTCATATATATTTTAAAGCTGTCTGTCTACTTGCATCTTATAAATCATATCTTTCCCAACACTTATTACAAATATCCAGACCATAGAACTTAATGCATCACATCCCATTTTCCATCTCGGTTTGACACACAGGTTCCCCCCATAATGCCTTGCATGGTAATGGACAAAACCTCTTTAGAAAATACCATGTAGAATGAAAGTGGATAAGAACACACGTAGAATAAAGACAAAATAAAACATGGTCTTTGGTAATAGGTTGGATAGTTTAAGTTGGCTGGGTTAGGTTATATTAATAAGATAAAAGTTAAGCATATACCAGTACACATGTAGGATGGATATGTGTGTGTTTGTGTCTTTGTCCAAGTATTTATTTGTGTTTTTGTACAGGGAGTATTTTGCCAAGGAGTTTTGCCCCATACTCCAGGCACAACCATGATCCTCCAGTACTCACTGTATCTGTTTTACCTTCTCTGTCCCAACCCCTTCCTTGATACCACTGTCTTGATTTATGAAAGAAATAAGGTTAACATATTATTCTAATTTGAATATCTGTCCATCTCATCTTTTATATTCTCCCTATTTGTCCTTTTCTTTCATATTCTTCCATTTATTAGATCATTAGTTGATTATTTGAAATCCCTGTGTCTGTATTACTGATTACACAGGAAACACGAACATTAAGCCATATCCAGACAAAACATGCCGCTAGTTAGGTTGTGTGAAGCAATGGGAACAAACCATATAGATATTTATGAACCTTGTAGTAGTGGGAATCTGCCATAGTAGAACACATAAGATACAACTGTTAGAATTTGGATTAAATGCATGAGAGTGAAGAGAGAGAGTGAGACTGTATATAGTCCTGGTTCCAGATACTGTGTTGTGTGATATAGTGAGAAGAGTCTTGTGAAAAATGGTATCCAAAAGTCCAAACCTCTTATTTGGTCCACTTTTGATTCTCATATTACTCATATTACTCATATCCTTATTGTCTTACCTCTTAAAATGTCTATATAATGAGAAGGGGATTGTAAGTGTGAAAAAAAAAGTGCCCGAACCTCAGAATTAGTACACCTTTGATTCTCATTACTCGTATCCTTCTATGCTACCCACTTCAGAAGTTTTGTTATTCACCATCCAATTGCCTTATTTTGTATCATTTAGAGTAACCCCTATTTCACCTGACAAACTTCATGTTCCTCTCACTTCTTCATCTTGAACCATGCATGAGGGAAGCTGCATGTAAAGTTTGTCATTGCCTTTTACAGCTGTACATTGTCCAGTTTATTAAACAGGGCTCACATTGCAAAGTTTAAGACAAGACACTAACTAAATCCCCCTCGCCCCCCAAAAAATTACAACACCATTTTAACAGTTTATTCACCACCTCCAATTATATATTCTTATATGTGACAACTGCATTAACCATTTCATTCTATTATCCAGCACCACATAAAATCACAATTAAATTATCCATATTGATAAAACTGAAAAGAAATACAAAAGAAGATTTACCAGTTTTACCAATTTCAAGAAAAGCCTATAGGAAAATTTATGATTGGCAGCATGAGCCTTGCTTAATATACTGTACCTGTGCTTTATATACTGTACCAGACCCTCACTTTATGCTATGTGCATACTGTACCTACAGAACAATGTTTAAAATCCTACTATATCATAGCCTAAGTCCTATATACATCTAAAATCACTTAATTTAAGGCAAACTAAGAAATAAAATGACAAAATACATTAACTGAAAGTAAAAAATAAGTCCTCAGGTAAATAAAAGGTAAATAAACTAGTGTAAATTTCAAGTTTATCCCCGTTGGTATCGGCAGGCTTTCGTAAGTCGGACATTTGTAAGTCGGACATTTGTAAGTCGGGGACCCCCCTGTACATAGTCTGACAATTAAGTTCGCGAACTCATGCTACAGGTGCTGGTACGTACCTTACTGAGGATCGGCGCTGTGGTCCCCTTGCAATGCTATACACGGACGCCAGTCTTTCTTCCACCCTTGGAAACATTTCTGGAATAGCTTTCATAGCTGCCGTCGTGCTACTCTGAAGGTCATCCACATCCTGAAAATACGTCCCCTTGATGTGTTTCTTCAGCGAAGGAAATAGAAAAAAGTCACACAGGGCCAGGCCAAGTCAGGTGAATAAGGAGGGTGTTCCAATAAGGTAATTTGGTTCTCGGTCAATAACTCCCGCTCAATCAATGCCGTGTGCTCTGGGGCATTGTCATGATGCAAAATCCACTTGTTTCCAGCAAAAAGTTCTGGGCATTTTCATCTAACTTTTTCTCTGAGTATTTTAAGCACATCGAGATAATAAAACTGGTTCACACCCTGCCCTTGGGGGAACAAATTCTCTGTGAATGTTTTTTGCAGTCCTGCTTGTTGTTGGTCATCCTTCTCTGTCATCGTCTGTAACTTCTTCTCTTCCCCCCAGAAAATCGCTTAATCCACTTGTAAACTGATGTTTTGTTTAGTGCATTATCCCCATAAACTTGGGTTAACATGTCCTGAATTTCAGGCCCAGTTTTCCCCAGGTTCAAGAGAAACTTGGTGTTCGTTCTTTGTTCTAAAACAATACAGTATTGTCATTATCGCTACAAAACCAGAAACCACTCTAATACAGTAGCTGCCACTGCACATGTCCTACTCGCTTGAGATCAACAACACAACTGGGGTAGTAAGAGAAGGGATCAAGGTCACATGTATGCCACTCACACTCGTTACAGTGCTGCCGCCTGTTGAGCCACGTGGCGAGTTTGCTAACTTAATTGTCAGACCTTGTATAATATGAAATAATATAATATATCAAACTAATGCGCCATATCTTTTACAGAACACGTAATAGGGAATCTTTTCCGCATAAAATGAATTGTGTTTAGAAAAAAGGTCGGCGCTTAAACACAAATTCGCATACAGAGGACCCCCCAAAAAAAAATGCGGATTTTTTTTTCGCGGTCCTCTATAATTCGCGGATGACACTCTGGATGTACCCAAGAATGTCTGTGGTAGTGTTAAAGTTGCCGGCATTTTCGTGGCTGGGACAGGGAGCCATTCGTTCTAGAGACAGTAATTTCCTTTACCTGTACAGTGGGGTATGCTATAACGAATCTAATTGGTTCTAGAACCTTGTTCGTTATAGGATTAATCCGTTCCAGGCCCCCAAATACAACCACTTAACACTGAAAAATATAATATAAAATTGTAAAAAAGTGCATAAATATGCATCTAAACCCCTGAAATAAAGAATATCATTAATACTTGTAATAAAAAAACAATAAATTAGCAAAAAAAAAAATTTAATAATGTTTGCTGTAGGAGTTTCGTTCGTTATAGCATTCTCAATTTTATAGGTAAAACCGTTCGTTATAGGAATATTCGTAGTAGGATCCGTTCGTTATAGCATACCCCTCTGTATTGTATATATGTGTGTGTGTGTGTCTACACATCACATATACAATACTACATGTAAAAGAAATAATTGTCCTAAGGGCAAACGCATAAAGAGAATATACATTTCTTTGGATACAAGTAAAAAATGTAACAAATCCCCGGTCAGCAAATGCTATTCGATGATTTGGCGATTCGCGGCCACTTTGAAAACCTAACCCCTGCGAATTTGGGGGCCCCCTATATTGTGAATGCGCATAAAGCGAGGGTCCAGTGTACCTGATGCCTTAGTCTTCTCTGGTACATTACCTGTACTGTATATACTGTACACGCTGCAACAGTTTCGTCTGGTCGTAAGATATGGCTAGTGTGGCAACAGCGCGCGTGTGTTCGCGTGTACATGCTGGAGAAATTTTTGGATCATCCTCTCCCTCCGTGAACCACGAGACTCGTTGAGTTGTCAATCAGAAGCAGTCATTAAGTTGACCCACAGATGACGCCATGGCGCATGAGGATGTGGAAGGGGGGGCAGGGAGCTTGGCAAGTGACAGGATGGCAGTGAGGTGGGGTCAGGTTGCTTACTCCAGCAGTGTTATAATTTGACAGCTTTTTTTTATATTCATGGCCCTGCGCCATCTATGTGTCAACTTAACAACTGCTTCTGACTGACAACTCGATGAGCCATTTGGTTCACAGAGGGAGAGGATGATCCGCCTATTATTGAGCATGTACACACGAACACACACACTTGCTGTTGTCACGTTAGCCATAGCTCGCATCCAGGTGAACCAGGTGGAACTATTGCCGAGTGTACTACTCTTCTTACTTAACTGTTCATGTGTTTAATATTATGTTTTCCCTTCATATTCATTTACACAATACATGTAGTATTTATAATTTTCAAGTAGATTTTTTTTTTTTTTTTTGAATTTGATTAGCAAAAAAGATATTAATGTGTAGATTTATATATTGTTTCTTAAATTTTCTTCTGACTGGGTAGTGACCATGAGCCAGCCAGTGACGTACAGTTTATGTTTGTTCTCAGGTGTGTTGTTTTAGGAGACACTTTGCTGTTTTTTGTGGCTTATAAATGTATTATACACACACACACACATGTAAATAATTGTAGGTGTGGATTCTCAAAGCTTTAGCCTAGAAATAATGTCCACAATGGCCTCAAAATTACACTGACACTCAACCTTAACTACATTGTCTCTTAACTCCAAATTAACTTAAAAGAATCTGTAAGATTGGACCCAGAATATATTATTAACTTGGGAGAACAGTCATGGATTTCCAGTCAGTGGAGATGTTCCTTTATGCTGACAGTGTACAATATGAGGGACAATTAGGAGGAATGAAGAGCAGATTAGTTAATACAGTAGATTAATTTAGAATTCCTTAATTATTAAACGGGATGAAACAGCTAGTTTGTGTCAGTGTTGATCTTGAAACACGTACTAGTTTACAGTATTGTTTAGTATATTATGCACAGTTGTGGACAAAAAGAATTCACCAGGCAGGGAGGAGGTAGGTGGAGACTTGGCAGTGTCACATAAAGGTGGTGATTAAAAAGCCTGCATTTTTTTTGTCCACAGTTGTACATACAGTACTGTACTTGACAATACACTCTACTGTATATTTTGTACACACTTCACAAGGCACACTAGTACAGTATAATACATGTTTACATCACGAGACACACTAGGAAACGCATTATTTATCTGGGTATCTTATTTTAAGTAAACTTTTTTGAATCTGCAATTTTTAGTTTTTTGCTTTATTTTGTGCTTGGGTTAGTTACTGTTAAAGCATTTTTTATTTCTTTTCCTTTTGGCATTATTGCCCAAGAATCATATGAATAGTTCCATCTTTCCCTCAGCAGCTACAGGAGCTTTTTGACTCCCCAACTCTGGGGCAACGTCAGATGGACTACAGCCGTGACACTGAGTCCTTCCTCCGTGACACTGAGCAACTTGTCACCTCTCTCCAGGCTCGTATTGACATGAACAAAGGCATTCCATCGAGTCTCAGGGGCCTGTCCTTCGAATCACATGACTCTGGAGGAGATTCTGACCTGGACACCAGCACTTCCTACCCCATAAACGACGATGACGACCGACTCGTGAAGACGATGGGCTCCCAGCTGAAGACCAAACTCAAGCTTGCCGGCATTGACGGTTCACCCAAGACGCCCCCGGTGGCGACCAGTCCCCGTAAACCAGATCCACTAGCAGTGGAAACAAGACTGAAGCTGACGAGCCACTTCAAGAGGGAGAAATCCATAGTGTCAGACAGCGGGTATGATGTGTATACAGCTGGCAAGGAAGAGAACAGCCTCCAATCAGATAGCAGTAGTGAAGCGAGTGAACCTATTAAAGATAGTCGCAAGTCCACTGACAATAACCCTCCCCTCAAGTTCAATAGAGCATTTAGGTATAGTAATCCTTATGCCACAACCTAGAGTTTTGTCCAAGTAGAGTAGATGTTAGCTGTACGATACGTTGATTTACACGCTACCTTAAAAATTTAATTAATTTGTCCACAACATTGCCTAGTAGCAGCACTGTAGAGGTCTGATGGATTACACACACATTTCCCTTTACTAACAGTTCGAGCCACTGTCTGTTGTACTACCTATGTACTGTAGTTACAATTTAATTGGCTTGTTGTACTTAAAATTATTTGTTCACATTGGCCTAAATTCTACATAGAACTTAATGCTCTGGCCCAATCATAGTCATGACACTGAAATGTTTATCTAGAGACTGACACTCACTCACAAAACACCTCAACTCTGGCCTTGTTTGGACAACTTGGCCCACAAGAGGTCATAAAAAATTTTTGGGTTCATCATAATAAGAGAATAACCCTTTGGTCACATCATTTATGTACAAATAGTGAGAAGTACTGTTAAGTTTGGCCACTTGAAGATCAATGTATCAATTCTCACAAGCAGATGATCACTAATATTAAAATCCTTAATGAATACTTTACTATAACGATAATTAGCCCAGTAAGTTAATGACGATGTGATATCAAAAGTTGTGATGCGTCTTGAGTGGTACATCATGTACCCATAACCTGTAAAGTCTCCTTATACTTGAAGAAAAATTATCTGCTTACACATTGCATCTGTTATCATTACTCTTAACCCACTGTTGCGTTGGGTGGATCAAGGGGTACTGAAGCCTGACAGAACAGTATTGGAGAGCTATGCACAACTAGTGAGAAGAAGGAGCTAACACATACATATTTAAATGTTTGCAAAACATGACCAATACCACAATTTACAAGCTCTGTGTACAATACTGTACTTGGCTTTAATGAAAATAATATGATGATGATGTGACTCACCAGATTTTACCTGAGCTGTGATTTAGCAAGAGGTTCAACTTGATATTATAAAGGTGTTCCTCTACCTACAGTAACTTTTAATATGGCTCCAGTCAGTCAAAGTTTGCTGGTAACTTCACATAGAATTTAGGCCAAGAAGCTTGTACATCACTGTTTTTATTTTCTTCCTTGTAAAGCTTTTTTTATGTTGAGTTTTTTTATTTTTTGTCTTGACACTTAAATATGAAATATTTAAAAAAAAACGTAATTTTAACCCAATAATGTTGAAATACTGATATGTTTTTGAACATAAGGTTACGTATTACACTCTGGACTGAAATAACTGTTCTACTCCACCAGTTTAAGAAGAGCTCGTTTGGCGTGTGAAGAGTCATCCCAGCAGCACAAGTCCCCATCACCTGTAGACAAGAAGAAGACCACCACCAGACCCTCCAGTGCCGGTAACCTGACGGGGAGCCGCAAGATTCCTCTCACTCATAGCAAGAGTCACCAGGGTACTAGCCACATGTCCCGAGGGGGTTCACACTCCCAGGCTACAACCCCCAAGAGCGGCTCCAACGACTTCAGCAGAGGAGACGGGGGCAGATTTAGTTTGCGGCTGCCCCATTCGACCTCTTCAACGGTAAGTGCTTGTGGTTTGGTCTGTGTATGCCTGAATTAATGGGGATGTGATGTATTGGTATGGGAGTGACTAGCTATGTGTCCTACAGCCTCCCTCACTCACTGCACAAGATACATACGGTACTACAATCTCTCTGACTCTATTCAGTATTCAAGATACATACCTACAACTTCTCTCTCATTTACTGCACAAGATACACTCCTACAACCTCTCTCTCATTCAGTTCACAAGGTACATAGTCAGATATTAAAACACTTTGATGTTTTGTACTTAAAGATGTTGAGATGAATGATGATGGGATGATTTATAAATGAATTTGAGTTACCTTATGAAAGAATAGCTTGGATAAACAGTAATCAGACACACAAAGATATTGATAAGTTCAGCTGTATCTTATTATCTATGCCCCTGAAATAAAGGAAACCCAGGAGTCGGTATTTTAATTCATAAGGCGAATATTTCTTTTGGTAATGATACAGATTTGGGGAATTGAATGCACTGTATAGAGTTATTTATTCAGCCTTTTATCCTTACCTTAACAGACTGTCTCCAAGTCCCCATCACGAACCTCTGTCAGAAAGGAGTTGTCTTCTGGTACCCGGAGAGGCGCCCCACGCTCCAACTCCACGCTGTCTGCCAAAGAAGTTGACTTTCAAAATTGGAAACGGCGTAAAAACTATGATCCTATGAAGGCTGCAGCAGAAGGCCGGAAGAAAGTTGGCGACAAGAAATCTGATAAATTGTCTCAAGGAAATACTCACAATGAATCAGAAAGATCTCCAAGGTACTGTATGTCTTGCAGTGTTATAGGAAAAAACCTGATCATATCAATGGTTCCTCAACAGAGATTCCAGTACAGGAGTCTAAATAACAATGAAACTTATAAATTCAAATCCCACCATTTTTTAATACTGATAAATTATTTACTAGGATACTAAATGGTTTCAGTCAGGGGTAACTAAATGAATGTTGTAATTTTTTTTAACTAGGCTTCTACTGTAATAAAACATACCTTACCTGCTGCTAGGTCAATACACTGTACATCATCACTTGATTACTCGGACAAAATTGATGGCTTCAGTTTTTCTGGTGCTGTAATTTATACATTAAACTGCTCCAGTGAGTAACTACCACCGAGGTGTATTGAGTATGACTCGTGTGCTTACTGTAAGTGAACTACAAATATGGTCAAGTAAATAATAGCAATATAATAAGTGTGTGTTTTATGCCCCATCGGAAATGTCTATTTTTTTTATATAGAGTTTGTTCATCTATCTACAGTCCTCCTGGGTCCCTCCTGCGCTCTGCATCCTTCCACGGCACTGAAGGCATGGGAGTAGCTGGTCGCTGGCCCCGGAGACCCAACCACCTGTACACTAGTGAGGATGATGGTCCTTACTCACTGGAGGAGGAGGTGAGTCTTTACAAGTTCATGGTATTCAAAACAAAAGACACACACTATACTTCATCACTTCCCTCTAGTATCTTGCTCTCTTAAGGACCCCCTCACTGAGGAGATGGGCTGGAATGAAAAACTTCCTTCCAATCTGTTTTATCTTGATATGTTTGTTTTACCTTCATACTTCCCCTTTCTGTCAGCCTTAAGCATAGAGATAATATTGTACTGTAGTTCTAAAAAATTTGGAGCATAATTTTGTGGACTACTATAATGAATTTATCTTTGACAATTCTGTTTAATTTTACATTTACTTTACAGTACAGGGAGTTTTATGCCATGAAGTGTCATGCAATAAAATCTTTACCAAATAATATTAAAATGGTTCTTAGCAGAGGAACAAGTGTACAGCCACTTTTACCGTAGTAGACAGAATATATTAATACAGATACAGTACTGTACATCAATAGTAACAGAAAAAATCGCCTATGTTTAGCAGTTTACAATGGTCAAATTGTTTAGTATAAAATAAACCATTCATGACAATGTTTCAGCAACCCCATCCTGTACCTCACTGTTCTCCACTGCGGAGATCTCCAACTTCTCCGCATCAGCTGTCCTCCCCACACACTACCTCTCCAGCACGGCAGGTGACTTTATCCTCGGCCCGGGCACGAAGAGCATCATACGCACTGTCAGATGAGGGCGAAGGTCACATTGGATCTCCAACTAGAAAGGTTTGTTATAATACAAACATAGATCATCCCTCAGGAGCTGTTAGTGGTCAGAGTTGTTCAAGTGTTCTCTTATTTATCCCAGCCTTAGTGTGACTGAGGTTGTTCAATAAAAAATGGTTACTGTGCTCACTTCCAGTCCCTGCTTTGCTTCTTTGGTTTGATCCACTGACTGTGTTCTCATTTTTAGTGGTGTGAGGCCATCAGTTACTTCAACAATACTCTAATGTTTCCATCTGAAATATATACCTATCTTTTGCATACCTTAATACTGCCATACTGTGTATGAATGAAATTAGAAAAGTTCACAAGGCTGTTGTGCTCTCAGACATCACTGGATGAGTCTGGCAGCGAGGGGAAGCGGTCACCACTGGGCAGCACCCGAGGCATTGTGTCAGGCAGATCTAAAGCTAAAATGGAAGCTCTGGACAACTTGGTCATATCCACAATTCACTCTCTCTCTGTGAAGGTTCGCACCACCTCAGAAACTCTCCTGCAAAAGCTTAAGTAAGTGAAGCTTCAAGTTTTTGTATTGGTTAAATGAAAAACAATCTAGGTTAGGCTGCACTACATCACTACTGTTAGAGTTCATTGCCTCAAGTAATATGTTTTTGCCTAACTATTGGGATCAAGCTTGTTTTCTTAACATTTAATCATCATCTGTGAACTGTATCTCTTTTTCAAAAATGAAGGTTTATTTCCTGCCATAGTAAGGAGTTGCATATTGTCCCCAAACTGGGAATTATATCACATAGCTGAGAAATCATGAAAGGGGAGAGTAAACATGTCTGTAATACGTGTGGAGGAGATGAAGGGATAGGTACTTTTAATGTGCTCTAGATCAATGACTTCTGATAGTATCAGAAGACACCAATGTTGATGAGGATGTTTATTATTATTATTATTATTATTATTATCATTATTATTATTATTATTATTATTATTATTATTATTATTACTATTATTATTATTTCTGTATTATTATTATTATTATTATTGTCTTGACACATATCAGCTGACTCTTCATTACACAGCAACATCACTTATAGTATGGTAATTATCATCCTCACTGTTTCTGAGTTGTATTCAGTGTGATAAAGCCCACACACCCACCACCATACACAACCACCACCACCCACCATACACAACCACCACCACCCACCATACACAACCACCACCACCCACCATACTCACCCACCACCACACACCATACTCACCCACCACCACACACCATACTCACCCACCACCAAACACCATACTCACCCACCACCACACACCATACTCACCCACCACCACACACCATACTCACCCACCACCACACACCATACTCGCCACCACCCACCACCACCCACCACCCACCATACACACCCACCATCTGGTTGGGTTATCTACATCACCCAGTACTTGTCTCAGGTCTCAGTATGATGAGGAAGGAGACCGTGCAGCTCTACTAGAGGAGGTGTTGGCCCACCTCAGCGAGAGTGACCAGACCCTAACCTCAGGCCAGAGCAGATCAACTTCCCGAGAGTTGGCTGGCATCCTCCGTAACCTTAAGAAGATCGAGCACGCATTAGAAGGTATGGAGAATTTTGTACATTATTAGTGACTGTCGTAGACACTTTATGATACAGTACAGTATATGATTAATTTGTGTTACAAGATAGACCATTGTGTAGAATTCTTGGCGTATATTGTATTTCATGTGTGGTTGTGTAGGTGTTGAGCAGTGGTTGAGGAGGTTCTGCATGGGGTACCAGATATAAATGCTGGATGACCTATGGTGTAGATAGGTGTATAGACAATGGGTAATTGATGATGATGTCTCGTGTAATGATAAATGTATTGCTCGTGTCTGTGAATGTATAAATAAATGACTGTGGCGAAGGACTAGGATATAAGGCATTTGAATTACTCATTATATTTAGATAAGCAGGAATGTAGAGCTCCCTGGCAGAAGGCTTCACCCAGGTTATAAATACACTTCTACTGTCTTGACAATTTATTTATTTATTTAGGAAATACAAATTTATGTATTTTTGACAAATATAAGTACAGTACTGTACTGTGATTAGTTTATTGATATAAGTGTGTCTCAATTGTTTTAAGCAAATGCTCTGTATTGTTTCATAATCATATGATGTGTTTATTGCTAATACTCTACAATAACAGGTGAATTTTTCCTCTTGCCCAGTGAATTTAACTATTTTTCATAAGAGTGTCATATTACACAAACTGGTTTTCTGGAAAGATACTGAAACATTATCTTGATTAAAAGTTTGTATCATCAGAGACACAAAGGATGAGTCAGTATCTTTGAACTAAGTAGCACAAAGTCTTTCATTATATAATTCAAAATTGATGGCAAATCTTGGCCATAACATCAACATGAACAACAATAACAGCTGGTACCTGTACTCTGAGGTAGACTGTGCTGCACTCAACCAATAACAGGAAGCAGCTTATGAACTGTGCATAGTTTGTCAACCGTGTTGCCTAGGACTGGCCACTCAGTAGGTGTCATAAAGCAGACTAGAATGGATGAAAATTATGTACAACTTCCATATTAGAATAAATAAACCAATTAGTGTAGGCATTAGAATTATAACGTGATACTTTGTAATGTAGTTACCTGTTCTTATGGTTATTTGAAGCTCCTCAGAACTACTGAACTATTAATGCATGTAGTATTTTCACAACATGGTAGTGTAAATGAATAATATACAAACATATACAGTATTCAGCTTTGAATATTTTTAATACGCGAACAACTAAGTTGGTTTTGTACCATATGTAATAGACGCTTCAATCATATTCCTGTGGCATGTTCTTGAAGAAGCCTTTGCTCGTACAGACAGACATAGTGATAATGTTCGTACATTTTGACTAACCTCATTTTCTTCTTCTTTTTTCTACCTTTACATACTTTATCATTCAGCCCTGACTGACAATGCCCTAGATGGTGATATCAATGGGTGAGGAGAGCTTCCAGCCTGTCTGTAATAACTGCTACAGTACTGTACCCGCTCACTGTCCTGCAACACTAGATCTGTCCATATAAGGATGTAGGACCATATTTTCCAACTGAACACCAACAACATATCAGTTCTGTGTCATTACCTTAACTCGTAGTTATACTTTAGTACTGTAATACCACCACTTACATAATACTGTACAAGTATTGTTTTCCCATAAATGCTCTTTATTTCTAAATACATTTTGATGCACACCAATTTGGAAACATAGTCTATCTGATGATCCCATTAATGTCTCTTGGTGGAAATCATTAAGCATCACAAGGTCCCTTTACGGGATTAAAGTGCAACTCATACATTAGTACATCAAAGAAAGGCTCGTTTTACAAAGCAACATGTGTGTACAATACAGTAAAACCTCAACAATTTGAATTGTGGATAATTCAAACAAATTTCAATTAGCTGGAGTATGAGGTATTTATCACCTTATTAACATTGTTAACTACTTTACATTATAGTGTATGTAGAGGATTGTACAGAAAGGTTTTTAAGTTCATTTTACTTGTGGAAGTTCTTGGTGTTTTTTGCAATAGTTTTGTTGGTGTGTGGTAGTCATTCAAGGGATGTAAGAAGTAGGTATTCGTCTTGGTCTTTAACTTTGTTACAGTACTTTCTTTAGAATATGTACAGAAACGTTCTTTGGTTCATACAAAAAAAAAGAAGTAAATTCAGCTTGCAGAAACCTGGGGGTAGTGATGGTAGCCACAGTGGTGACAGATAGTGATGGTGGCCACAGTGGTGACAGATAGTGATGGTGGCCACAGTGGTGACAGATAGTGATGGTGGCCACAGTGGTGACAGATAGTGATGGTGGCCACAGTGGTGACAGATAGTGATGGTGGCCACAGTGGTGACAGATAGTGATGGTGGCCACCGTGGTAACAGATAGTGATGGTGGCCACAGTGGTGACAGATAGTAATGGTGGCCACAGAGGTGACAAATAGTGATGGTGGCCACAGTGGTGACAGACAGTGATGGTGGCCACAGTGGTGACAGATAGTGACGGTGGCCAGTGGTGACAGATACATCCAGGAGGGACCGGCATCAGTTGTCTAACGTTCACTACACCAAGACTGTGTTCTCATTCTGGCCAACCATATTATAATTTTTCTGTTGTGTACTGATTGTATTCTGAAGTATAATATAATGGCCACCAAGAGTTAACTCTACATAGCTCTAGTGTTGCTGCAGCCAGCAAGAAAGTGAGGAGAAGTTACATCTTACAAATAGAACTTAATTGGGGAAGAAGTTGTATCAGTGACACTTTGTCTAGGATGATCGAGTTCACTTCTTACACAATAAAGAAAAAGAATAATGCTGAAAGCTTCCCATACTTCCTCTTCTTTGTCAAGGCCTAACAACAGGAGGAACCTCACTTAGGTTTGTTAGGATAACAGTTATCTCACTCCCACCACCTCCCATCACTGTCTCCAAACTATATACAGTACTGCACGCAGTGATATTTACTCAGTTTATATATCACCTAACCACTTATCAGCTTACTCTCCATTCAGTTGGTTGGTCTATCAAGTGTTAGTACAGGAAGGATAGCTGATAGAATCATGAAATGCTTATTTCCAGTAAAGTCCTTATGCCAGTGAACAGTGTTTTGCTTTTCTTTTTTTAAATCAGGGACTGTATTACTGGTACAGTATCATGTTTCTGAAGTTTAGGTGTAGGTTTTTATCATTGGTTATGTGGTGGCTGTGTGCAGCAATATGCAAATTTATCCACATAATCGAGAATTGGGACAAAGACAAGGATACTCCGGAAGCCTCTTGTAAATTGACTTGTTCCATGTGAGTCATTGGATAAGTTGACCAACCGTCACCCACAGGTAGATCAGATTGATGAAGTTTTACTGTAATTTTTTCCCAAATACTTGAGACACTTTTCTCCCATTATATTAAGAAATGGTAACTGCCAATGTCAGTATTCTTAGTTCCAGTTAGAAACTATGGCTCTCAGATCACACAACATATACCTGTACTTGCTTTTTGCTGGTTAGATCTGAGTTTGTGTAGCCTAGCTGAAACATGTACCAGAGTCCCCAACAGATAGTGTAATGTATCCATAAATTTATCAAAAAAGTTGGCTTTCAAGGCATTGTTGTATAAACTGTTCCAAATATTTTCTTAAATATATTGAACTCATGGAGTCCCCATACATATAATTACTGTACTGTATACATGGCTTATAGTACTTTTGTTACAAAATTGTTGGCCTCAACATAGAAAGTCAAGTTTTAAGTATGTACTTTACTTATTGGCAAAATTATGGATGCATCAATGGTTGTTCTCAGAGAATCTTAGAAGAATTAAAAAATTTCTTGTCAAAAGTTGCATTATAGTTGCAAAGAAGAAACAGAAGTACTGTGCATGTAGTAGTTGAGATTATAATGCATTAGTGTTGTGTGTTTCCCAGGAGGATATAATATACTCTACAGTACTGTAAACGTAAGTGAAAATCTGACTCGCCTGGAACTCTATAATATCTAAATAACTAAGCCCTTCTTCATCCCAACTCATAATACTAGTTGTAAGTCTGAATCTAGGCTGTAACTTTTAGTGCATTGTTAAAAAAAAATAAAGTGTTAGTAGTTGAAAACTTTAGTCATAAGTATTGATATTTGTTTCGAAATTGTCCCCCCTCTCCCCTTCCCTTCCTCACCACACAGCCAGAACTGTTCCTTCAATGATGAAAATTAATTAGAAATTAGATAAGGTATTTCTTATTGTTTTTAGCCATTTCCTGCCACCATCAGTACTTCGTCTTGTAACATATTTATCTATCTCCTTCTTCCTGTTGTTGTTTTTTTTTACTGAGGGTTTTCTGCCCCTTGATCCATCCAATTTCAAAAGTGGAAGAGAAGTATAATAGATAATATTTCAGTACAAGTCATCTGGTCTCACCAAAAGTTAGCTCAAGGCATAACCTCACCTGATCCATGCTGTTTGAGAGAGTAGAGACATACCTTTTTTTTCCTGGCTGGGATAATTATCAAAAGTTTTTCATAAAGGGTTGTTCAAAGTGAAGTTCTTTATTGACTAAGTTTGTGCTGTGTGTTCTGTATAAGTTCAGTGTTAAGTTTCAAGTTTGGTTTAATTAACATTACCAACATTAAATAATAACTACCTGTACTTTTCTTTTATACATTTATATTTTTCTCGTGAAATTACAAGTCGAGACATGACTTGGTGTGCTAGTTGTCTGCCATGTGGTCAGTTTGTGTTCATAAACATTTTTTTGATAACTAGATGAAAAATTACTTTTCTTTTAATTATTAAGGGCAGAAGTTGCTAGCTGCTGCAGTTGGAAGAAAATAATTATTACCCCAGTACTGTACTGTATTATGTTGTGATTTTGAACTAAGGACATATGCAGCTTACTTGTACAACATTGACAGAGAAGCAAACAACTACCGTTACAGTTGTTCACTGTTTAATCAAGTGTAGTAATGACTTGATCACAAGCTGTCAGTTAAGGCAGTTCAGCTGCATCACAGTCTACTTCTCATGCCACAGAATATGGGAGGCATGTAGGGTTACCTCTGTCTCTACATTGGTATTAAGTCATTTCTGTTGTAACTTAATTCATGAATAAGATTTCTGATAAACTTCCTACATGCTCCTGTTTGAAATAATGAATGTATGTATCTTTATATAATTTAGCTAAATATCTTTCTCGTCAGAAACAGTCATCCCAACGATTATGATTAAACTCGTTTAGAAATACATCATTACTTCAGGACGAAATCGAACAGATTTGCAACAGCCAATCAGCTGTAACTCTTGAGGAGGGGGCAGGGCATCTTTTCTCAGCTGAGAAAAAATGCACTATAGATGCTTTCATATTCTGTGGGAATTGTCTTGTGGATAACAAACCATTATTATTATTATTTATTATTATTATTATTTATTATTATTATTATTTATTATTATTATTTATTATTATTATTATTATTATTATTGTTGTTGTTGTTGTTGTTGTATTGTGTACAGGGTACTGTATTATTATTTTTTCTATACGTATTACTTATACTTTTCTACTCGTAACATGTAAGTGAACTTGTTCTTTTCACCTTTTTTCTACACTTACAAAACCATCTTATACTGCACTCCAGGGCAGCCAGGATGAGGAGCATCAAAGGCTCTCGTCACATGTACTGTACTGTATTGAGAGTTGGAAGCTGTTGTAGTACTTGGTGTGATGGTCACTCAGGACAGCAGGGTTTCCTCAGTTGGTGTCATGGGCCTTGTTGTTGAGACTTTTGATATTAAGTTGATGTAAATTATAGATGATTGACACGTTGGGCTAAAATTCTGGATGTTGGCAAGGTGTGTGTGCACACACACACAAATTGATTGTTGTTGTGTAAGTGAATGGCCATATGTTTTTCTTCCACAAATACACCTTCAAGCTTACTTTCTGTTCAGTATTGTACACACAATTCTTTACCCAGTGTTCATGCCATGACATTTACTTCCTTGTTATGAGTGAACTCAATGGTTATTGATCAAATGGGCCCCAGGCTCAATAGATTCAAACCTAATCAAACCATTAGAATTGAAAACCATTAGAACTGGGCTCCAATCCTATTTGTTAGTTTAGGGTTTGGTTTGGGGCTAACTGAACTAATCCCAATAAATAGGGAGGGTTGAGTCCCATTACCAATGGGCTTGTCCTATTTTACCCACAACCCTTTCTAATACTGGTGATGCCCTACTTATCTACTTTTGTATTAATGGTAAGCTGAATTTGTGTTGAAGGATTAGTTGCAGAGTTTGTGTATCTTTGTCTTTTTGTGTTATTTAACTGGACTGATTTATGTAAAAGTGCTTCATTCTCTGGTTATTTACATTGGTTTTTATTATTCTGTATTGTATTCCTATTACTGTACTCTGCTCAAACTCATTGCTACGTTTATCATCATCTGCTGCTCTAACAGTGTTCTCTCTCTTACACAGTATACACTTCTATAATCTGGATAAAAACTTGCCGTTATTATGGTAGACCAGTGGAATGGTAAGCTGTGGTCAGCTCTAGTGGTCTCCTGGCTCACCAGTTGTGCCTCATTAAGCATTTTTTTAATAGACTTGAACAAATCAATAGATGAACACTTATCAATAGATTAGTCTGTTTCTCTAGTTCTACCCAGATAATGTACTGTGAGTGACACACATGAGCTGAGGAAGATCTGTAGTGACTTCATGTTATTTTAAAGTCTGATATGAATTTTTAGTGCCATTCTGTCATGCAGTTTGTATGAAATATGAAACTGACTTGATTCCTTTCTTTCATACTTCATGTTAGTGTTGTTTCACCTTTTGTACATAAAGGGTTGTATATGCAGTAGATTTTTTATCACTATATATATATATATATATATATATATATATATATATATATATATATATATATATATATATATATATATATATATATATATATATATATATATATATATATATATATATATATATATATATATATATATATATATATATATATATATATAGTTAGTTGTTAAAGAAAATAATGATCGTTTATCACCTCACGGGCATTGATGTCAATGTCTGGTCTAAGTTTTGGCATTTACATTAGCTTAACAGCCTTAAGCAGATGAACACCTGTATCCACTGTTGTTGCTCTTTTTAAAACCTACTTTCTGCAGTACAGTACTGTACCCACTTCTACCATCCCCTACTGTCCTTCAACCTCTATGCTTTCCTCCTCATATGAATTTTAACTAGAAATTCTGGAGATCTATTCTTTCATCTTTTTTTTTTTTCCTCTTCTTTGTTTTCACCTTGGCCATTTACTGTTCTCATTTTGTGTATACTGTAGTTAAATACAGTATAACAACTGGAAGAGCTTCACGACTGGGAGGGAATTTGTTATGTTGGGTACTGGTTGACGGGACTGCCAATCCTGATAGCTTCAGTGTAGCCTAACCATATGGATCGGGATTCGTAAAGTTGTTCCAGATTCTAATTGTATGGTTAGGTTGGGTTAGGTTAAGTTGGTTTGTGTTAGGTTAGCTTGGAAATCGTTTGAGTTAGGTTAAGGTAGAATGGGCCTTTAGGAATGGAGGCTCATTTGATTGTTCAGCTTTTGAGTACAGTATAGGTATTACAGTTCTGATTGAGAAATTAGAGTTTGTACTACAGGTAAGAAAAATCATTAACTGAATTATGATAGCTTTGTGAAATGTGATGATTGTGTTAAAAATGGAATGATTGATTGTGCAAGAATTTAGTGAGGGATATTGTAAGATTACATCCAGGAGCTATGTTTTGTGAGCGACAGAATCTATATAAATCGCTGAACGCCGAGACAGAAATGAAAGCTTAAAGATGCTGTTTTGGTGTGAAGAGAGAGTGGGCGAGTTTTATTCAGCCCTAAACACCAGCTTAAATTCAGTCTAGTTATTTGAAAGAGAATGTAAATAAATGTTAGTAATCTTAGAGAATGATATCAGTGAAAGTATTAAAGTTTTGAACAGTATCACCTAAAGATTAACCCCCAGCGTATTTCACGTGAAGATTAACTTCCCTAATGCTAACCTAATTTTAACCCCCCCCCCTTCCTCCTGTAGTATTGGGGAGTTTAATCTTAAGGTGAAATATGCTGGGAGTTATTCTTCCGGTGATCCTTTTAGTGTTTTCAAGTTGAGGAAATTTTTGCTTTGTTCACCTCATAGTTCTGCTCACTGACTCGTTGAGCTAACTATGGTATTTGTTATTTTTTACGTATATGGTAATATGGCGTATCGGCATTGACTGTGTGAACATATTGACCCCCTGGGAACAAAATCTGGTCTTCAGCCTTTGTTAAAGCCTCTCCCCTGATGAAAAAATAAATAAATAAAACCACTACAAAATAAACCTGTTTCATCCACATATCCCTCTGTCGAAAAAGAGAGAGAAAAAAGCCATACATTAGATAGCAACAAATTACAAACACACTTCTGGCCTCAAAAATATTGTCTCCACTTTAAAAACAAAATCTTGAAGGTTGTTTTGCCTTCCTCAATAATACTCTTAGGTTTTTCTACCCATTTTCTACCAACTTTAGGACTACAAATCTTAATCTTTTTTTTATTAAAATTGAGTTTCACAGGACAAAATTGAGAATGTTGGGCTCTAGTTAGCTGCCTCCATACTTGGTGTTAGCAATCTAGTCTGTTTTATGCCTTGTATCATTCCTCCTCGACAGTACTTCCTTTAGTTGTTATAAATATTTTTATTATTTGGAGCCAACATTCTTTTTAATCATTTGCAAGAGATATCATTGACTTAACAAAAATGCATTATTAATTTTTTAAATTGTGTGTAAATACAGTATACTGTAATGCATTGTCTTGTATTTTGTTTAATATCAGATTACATGTATTTCATATTCAGTAATGTATACCACAGAATGTGCATGTGAACAAATATTTGTCTAAATGTTCAGTAAATTGCTCTGTGGTGAAGGTCTTGTGCATTTTTTAAACTTTTGGAATGTGAAATATGAACAGTTATTTGATTTAAGTTAATATGTTGTTATTTTCAAGTGTTAAATATAATAATAGGGTTTGCATGATCTTTGAATAAATATCACCTCGGCAAAGTTCCTTATGGGATGACATACACTAGTCTTAATTGTTAAGGTCAGTTAAGGTTCCTATGTTCCGGATTTCCCCTCATGACTCGACTCTCACGAGAAAATTACTTAACCTGCCAGTAAATGGTGAGGAGGTACAGTACTGTATCTGAGGGAGTAGCCATGATATGAGACTTTTGGACAGCTACTTCCAGGCCATTTACACTGTTATGTAGTTTTTTGGTGAGAGTTATGTCTCAGGAGAAATGTTGGATAATACGCCTTTAGAATTGTTAGTAGAGGGATTCTGAGCAGATCATTAGCTCTCATCCAAGGTATAGGTTAACAGAGTTAAGTGACTATTTTTTCTATTCCTCTTTTTTTTTTTCTTACATTTTTACACCACATTACTAGTGTTACTGTAAGTTAATATTCAAAGTGTGTTTCTCTTGGTATAGTATAATGTTTTTCATGTGCAGGATGTATTTAATGATATAATTTGTCTTTTGCTCCCAACAGTAATTGACCGAGTGATGGTGGGTATTGATGATGATGACCTGGATGATGATGATCTTGATGGTGCTGCTGGCCATGAGTGGGGGGAGAGTGACTACTGAGTTACCTGCTACACACCTGGCCATGAGTGGGGGGAGAGTGACTACTGAGTTACCTGCTACACACCTGGCCATGAGTGGGAAGTGGCTTCTGGGTTACCTGCTACACTTGGCCATGGTGGGGGAGAGTGACTACTGAGTTACCTGCTACACACCTGGCCATGAGTGGGGGGAGAGTATTACTGAGTTACCTGCTACACCTGGCATGGGAAGTGACTACTGATTACCTGCTACACACTTGGCCATGAGTGGGAAGTGACCACTGAGGTACCTGCTACACACCTGAGCATGAGTGGAGAGTGACTACTGGTTACCTGCTACACACTGGCCATGAGTGGGGAAGTGACTACTGAGTTACCTGCTACACACCTGGCAGGTGGGAAGTACACTGAGTTACCTGCTACACCTGGCCATGAGTGAAGTGACTACTGAGTTACCTGCTACACAGTTGGCCATGAGTGGGAGAGTGACTACTGAGTTACCTGCTACACACTTGGCCATGAGTGGGGGAGAGGGACTACTGAGTTACCTGCTACACACCTGGCCATGAGTGTGGGGAGAGTGACTACTGAGTTACCTGCTGCACATGAGTGAGGAGAGAGTAACCAGCTGCACACCAAAGCGAACATGCTCACTTATGAGATTTGTAAATATTTGGCCAGAAACTTTCAAGGAGTTGAGTGAAAATGAGTTTAAGGTGGTTACAAATAATCCCTTAATAATGTGTGAACATGTTAATCAGGCCCTTCTAACCAGTGAAAGACTTTATGTATGAAAAGTGGATTATGTGTGATGGCTGTACAGGAACTTTGCTTACAAGTACAGTACAGTACTTAATTCTTTTAGAAACCTCAATGTGCACAAGAATAAATGAACTCAACCTTGTTTCCAAATGTAAGACTTTTTGTTATAATTTTGTGGTGAGGCTGTGAAGCAAGACTGTGGAAGAACGTGCTTCAGTGTTACATGAATTACTTACTTTAATGAACATATTGCACTAGTGCAGCAGACAGGCAGTTGTTAATACAACAGATGGATGTGGAAGTCACAACCACTTGAAATTTTATGCCATCAAAGTGACGGGTAATTAAAGCAAAAACCGCTGGAAGTGACAACCAGTGGCATCAATGACCTGTGGTGCCACATATAAATTGTCACAGTTGTGGTAGCATAGAACAAATGACCAAATAGATTTTTAAAATCCAACAACATCCAGACTTACCCAACAGAAGCTTCACAGCAGACGTCAACCCTGAGAAGCAAAAGGAAGAGTTAAAACATTCCAGTAATTTAGAGACATGTAGTGTATCCACAGAGGTGAGGTGCCACTACTTTGATGTTAATATCATGACTTAGAATTTTTATTGTAAATTTCATCACCTGCCCCTTAAATATTGCCAGCATTCAGTGTTCTTTGTCAGACTCTAAACGTTGGTTGAAAATCTCCTTTGAGTGGTCGAGTGATGTCACTGATGACCCATATGGTTATTGTCGTTGTATAAAAGACCAGCAGGAGTTATTTTTGTTGACTGGTGGCAGTATTTGAAGAACAGGTACATGACTTTTAACACTTGGGAGATTAGAGCTTAACATACACAGGTAAGAATGTACCTTGTGTCGCTAACCTTTAGGACCAGAGGCTCACTATGACTCACATCCTAAATGTTTTGCTCATAACCATAATATATTTTGTTGTGTGCTGAGGTCTTATCCAAACCGCTACATTGCCATTTTACTGTGATTTACCCTCGAGAATGTTGTCAGTGGGATTCAGCTCATTGTATTTCCGTCTTGCTTATTGGTAACGTGTGGTGCATATGTACAGTAACTCAGATTTTCAGTGTGTACGAGAAGTAACTTTTTGTTAAAAGGTTCAGTGTTATTTTTTTCCCTCACTGGTAAATACATTAATACTTTAATCAGAATTGTTGAGACAAGGTGGAACCATTTTTCTTCCTGATTATTTGAGATTGATGCACATGTGTTGTCATCAGGTAATCCAAATTTTCAGTTATCAATGTTGACGCAGTACAGTACTCATATTTGACCGTGTCTTAGGACCTCTCTAGACATACACAATTTTTATTTTTTACTGCTGTGTTCTAAATGGATTTTATTTATGTACTCAAACAGAGTTTAATTAATTCTTGTGTTTTCCAAAACATTCTGTTTGGTTTACTAATTTTAACTGTTCAAGGAAATTCATTAAGAAGATAGTAAAGCCAGAAGCTTCATTACCGCTAACAGGTGCGTCTAGTATGTGTTGAGGCTGTAAACTAACCCAAGCTGACTGATGAAACACATCATCACCCTAGACATACCATATTGTACTAGCTCTCACCCAGTGGAGGTTCCACTTCAACAGCTGTAAACACAATGCTTAAAAACTCCCACATGTGGTTTTTAAATGCCTGTTATCACTAAGAAGAGGCATTTTAATATTGTGCATTTACAGACAACCATTAATATTACACTCAGGAGACAGAGTACTTCTTGGTCAGTTTGATGGTCTTCCACGCATTAAAAGTTTTATTTAGGGGGACCGTATCAGTAAACAGGTTTGCATTGCTTTTTTACTAGGGTCGCTAAATGTCACTACATGTACCGTATTATCATTAAAGGTATTCAGAAAAGTATGGCCCAAATTACTCTGCTCTTATGCTTTGTGCAGAAGCTAGTCCTGTAACATCTTGAATCTCCTACCTGTTTTCTATATAGATTATCCCATAAGATTAGGATTTTTAATTTTTTACCACTGTGTACAGTATTTGTAAGCGAGTACACAATGAAGGTCACCTCATTGTTTACCACTCAAGTGTTTCTCATCCCACTAAATGCATTCACAGTAGCATCTCAACAGTTCTCATATTTTTTTTATGAATTACATAGTCAAACATTAAGCTAAGGCACTATAGGATTGGTTTACATTACCATCCTCTTATTTTTTTTAACAAGTCTTCAAGATGTTTGCAAAGTTAGGGTTTTTTCTTTTTGAAAATTACATTGTAGAAGCTAATGTCATTTTAATCTCATCTTATACCATATGAACTGATGACATGGTAGAGGACAACATTCTCTTACAAGTGATACTGTAAATAACACAATTAAATGTACTTTATACATTAAAGAATGTTAGCAATATGAAATAAAGCTTAACTGAAGATGTGTGTACAGTATTTCCTTAGTACAGTATAGACATAAAGTTCCTCTGTGTAGACTGGCTCTCTTTTTGAGGTTTCAGCTTACATTATTTAAGGAGAGGTCGGCAAATCTGAGACAAAGTTGTCAAATAGTTTTTCTGAAGTATTTTGGTATGCTGATTTCATGTCTGGAATATGACAAGCTAAATATCACACTGTTCTGAAGTTAAAGAGTTATATATTGAAAATGGCTACCAAGCAGAAACGGAAATGTTGACACTCGGTACAGACAATATAACTCCTTTATTTACAGTTTTCACACACTTTAATTATACCTTTAGAATAAACTGTTCTTTGTGTTTTTGAAAATTTGGATCATATTCTGATTATAAACTCTAAATTGAATCATGTTGAGACCGTATTCACACTTAAGTAACAAAAAATTACACTACAGAGGCAACTTTCACTATTTTTATACATTTATCTAGAAACTGCTGATATAAAAAAAAGCAATATTAAATGAGAATGAAACTGAGACAGTATAGTACATACAAATTAATTTAAAAAGGCAAAAGAAAAGTAGCATCAATTTTAGAACCGAATTTCATTGTCTTTCAAATGTTCCTGCAGATTTCGTCAGCTGTGCTGCAGTTATATGCAGCAGTACACACCAGCTTTGACTTCTTATATTTATTTTTGAACACTTGTGCACCATTTGGTGTACTTGCAGCTGATAAGCTCCATGTAGGAGTCTGGCACTGAAGGCAGGGACTTGAGAACAGGGACAATTTCAATTGAGCCATCTAATCTCCATCCCATCATCTCATGAGGGAGTAGCATGGGATACTTGTTAGTGTGCACGTTGTATGTGGAAAGACAGAGCATCACTTGTCGGTGGAAGGGTTTCTAAGGCGTGGGCTCGACCAAAAAGAAATGGAGTGAACCCTGTCCACTGATGTAGCTGAACACGGTTGATTTTGCAAATGAACTCTTTGGCATTGTGGACTACTTGCAAGTAATTGTAAGACATTCTGATGCTCCTTGAAGACATTACAACAGGACTTTCTGGTGTGACCAGCCAAAAGGTCAAAAGGATGTAGTGTCAGAGCATGAAATGCAGGCAGTGTGCTAAACATACTATTATCAAGTTGAGCTGTAATGGTGTGGATTGGGAGGTAATTTCTGTTCTTGGATGTCCCAGACTTCATTCATACTTTCGGGCCCTGGTAGTGTGCGATCAATAATGAAAATATTAAAACAATTCTTGCAAAACATAAAAATTTTGCTCCAAGGGTACAACATTAACTTTGTGTACGATTATATTATCTGTCCTTTTACTGTACTGGGTTAATAAAGGTGAGGGTGGGAACAATACACTCACCTGTCATATTGGTGTAATAGTTTTCTACTGTCAATAAAATAATGTATTTCAATTTTAATGGAAGTGTGCATCCTAGAGTGTTGAGTTGTGGAACGATCTTCAAGAGTTAAGTGCTTCCCCATCTGGAGTACTGTCACCCCGTCTGGTCCCCAAGATAAACAAGGGACTGTCAGTTGATTGAAAATGTTCAAAGGAAGGCCACCAGACTGGTGCCTGCACTGCGGCACCTCGACTACCCTGCGAGATTGGAGCGCCTGAACTTGCCGATTATAATACAGACGGGCAAGGGGCGACCTAATTGAGGTGTACAGTATATAATTATTTCAGGGGGCACTACTCAGTCGAGTGTCCTTACTTGGAGCTGGCGGACGCTCGCCCCACAAGGGGTCACAGCTCAAGGTTGAAGAAGCCGCAGGTCCAGAAAACTGTGAAGACAAACTTTTTCGGAGTGAGAGTTGTGAACTCTTGGAACAATCTGCCAGAAAGTGTTGTGACGGCACCGAGTGTGAGCTCTTTC